GAATTTAAATTGCATTATCATTTCACTTAACCTCCTCTTTACTAATCCTCATTATTTTCCTTATGTTGTTGTACCATGTCTCTCTCTTAGTCATCCTGAAAATTCCTTATATATTAGCTAGATACCCTAGTGAGAATAAGGTAAGTGGAGCCGAGGTGAAGAACAAGGAGAACCTTTTGGCAAAGGGTGGAAAGAAATGGTTTGATGTGCAAAATAGTTTTTTTTTTTTTTTTTTACAATCCACCAAAATAGTTATGTGACTATACAATTGGGTAAAGAAGATAAGATGATGATTAGAGTGAGAGAAATGAGACGGAGGCAAAGAACAAGTAAGAGAGGAGAAGGAGAGGCTTCATAGAAAGGGAATGATGTTGGTAATTGGTTCTGAGGTTTGCTTTTTTTTCATAGATAGATTGTTAATAGATAGGGTATTACAGGGCATTGAAAAGTAAATAGCAAGAGTCAACCAATTGTTGGGCTACCGATAAAAGAGTCGTTTTTGCCACATAATGGGCTGCCCTGTTAGTCCTACGAGGAGGGGGAAAATGAATGAACGAGAAGGAGGTCTTCAACAAACTAACTTCCTCAAGCACCGCACCGCTCTGGTCATTATGAACATCATTCTTCACAACTCGCCGAATGACCATTTGCGAGTTACTGCAAAAATAAATAGAAGAAAAACCACGAGTTAAACACCAATACATTGCATCTCTAAATGCTAAAAGTTCCATTAAGAATGGATCAGACAGACCTTCATAGAACTTACCGTAAGCACAAACTATGGAGGACTCACTAGAGAAACCCACAAATTCAATGTTGCCCCCTAGATTTCGTCCAGTGGCGCCATCAAAGCGGCCGGACAAGAAGCCCCCTGGAGGGCAAGCTGCTGCAGCAGCCAACTGTGGTGGGTGTCGAACTGTTGGGTTCCTTCGTGGAGCTAGACTCGAGGTTGCCCTCCATTAATCATGTTGCACTGTAAATTGTCGATAGAGTGGACCCGGAAGGTACTTGATATGGCCATAAACTGACCAACAACGCCCTTTCCAAATTCTCCATGATAAGAACATTAATTCTGCAATCTCACCGTTAGTCTGTTATTCATCCTCATAGAAAAGAAAAGTTGATGCCAAGCTTGATCAGCATCCAAATTACTTATGGCTTGACGAATATGGTCCTTCCCCAGCCAATACCAAGAGTGCAGGAGCTATCCTACAATTAAAAAGGTAGTGGGATACAGTTTCGGTTGCAGTAGAACACACAGAACATATACTTGTGGAATTTAATGACTTAGCCTGAAAAATGGGGAGGAACGACAAGAAGCTGTGCGCGCACAATCCACCATAAAAAGAACTTCAACTTGGGAGGAATAGGTAGACTCCATGAATTCTTCAAACCTGCTTGTCCATGTGCTGTGGGAGAGTTGCAAAAATTTCTGTTCGGGCGCCGAAAAATAATTGATATCATGTCTTCACTGTGTACTTGCCAAATGAGTTTGTCAGCAGGCTGAAGAGTTGTCAGGAGAGGAATGGAAATGATCCATGTCACGTTGTCACTGGTGAATGTAGCTCGATTAAGATCACCATTTCATGTATGGTGAGCGGTTGAATGAGAGATGCCACATAAGGGTTCGACAGCGAGACGCCTTGCGAAAGAACTGGTGAAGAAGGAGGAGAAGAAGGTGAGCAAGGATCTGTAAGAGTGAGTATAGTTGTCCCAAGTCACAACTTGCCATCTAAGCCTCTTTTTCAGTAAATTCGAACCTTTAAGTACCCATGCCAAGCCCAAGAAGGTCGATTAGCAACTGGTTCATTTAGGAAGTCACATCGGGGATGATATCTTGTCTTGTACATACGTGCTATAGTGGAATCGGCAAATATCAAAACCTTCCAAGCTTCTTGTACATAGACCTATGTGGGGAATTTAGGCTTATATAAAAATGCATGTAGGTGATCATAAAATTCATCAGAGAAGAGTGCATTCCGATTTTTCTTAAGGAACGGTAACTTCATATTTATTCTATTTTTTAAAGACTTGTGGTTCAATAATTCTAATTTACCCAAAAAATTGAATTTCAAGTTAAAACAAAGGAGATATGCTATCATATTATGATGATATGACATGGATAAGATTATAGCAGAAAAGTATTGTGAATGACTTTTTATATTCAAAATAACATGGATATCATTGTGTAGATCATTATTAATGCGCTTTTTCTACTATGCAAAAAATTCTAAATGTAGAGTTAATAGGAATGAGATATGAACCGATTAGGTCAAAATTCTCCTCTCTTCTCTAGAAATTTCGTGTGAGTCAAAGAAAAAAATCCAAAGATATGCAGAAATTACCAGTCCACCCCTTCTTATATGAGTTGTGGATCATTAGGTTAGTGGATGTATCTGAATTAAGGTTTTGTATAATTTTGTAGAATATAACTCTGTACCATATGTGTTCTCATAAAATATAGAAAAACACTTTCTTTATTTGCACTTCAACATTTCAATTTTACTCAATTGTTGTGCATCCGCCTTAGTACGTTTTATCACAATAACATTTTTCCTTCACAAGTTTAATTGCCTAAATTGACAGGGCAGTTTGATTTTATCAAATTATTTATTTTTAGTTTTTCTAACATTCAAGTTGTGTCACCCTGGATATTCTCTCTTTCTTCCTTTACCATTGTTAATCAGACCCAAGGTTGTCAACCCGTGGGTTGACCCGGACCCGATCGAGCTAGTGGGTCAAGGGTTAATGGGTCACTCATTTTAGCCCGGTTTAGCCCGAAAAATATGGAAAGAGTCATTATATTGTATTTATTATGATAAATTATATCAAATCTCATCTAACATAAAAGTTATAACGTATAATATTACACCAAAATAAAATGCCGTACTTATATCAAACTTATAGTGAAAATTCACACACACTTATATAACATGAATATTCAAATGTTCAACTTAGAATTCCAAAGATTGAGTTAGGCAAAAAGAATAATTGAAAAATAGGTGCATTTCACCTATTTTCCGGCATATAGTGAAAATTCACACATACTTATATAACATCAATATTCAAATGTTCAACTTAGAATTCAACATATAGTGATCAACTCGACGAGTGCGTGCGGCCCGTTATTCTCGCTGAGTCAGGGTCAGAGTGGGTCGACCGTGAGTTTACATCAGACCATATTTCCCTCATCTCATCTCCAAATTCAAATATCTTGATGCAGCAAATTAAATTTAAAGTTATCTATCATTTTGATATATATGTTAGAAAGAAAGTTTTTTACCTTGTTACCGTTACCAACCGATACCAGCACCAATGTTTACCCTGTTTCCCGTAAAACCTTTCTGTCATTGTATCTAAATTTATCATAGAAATTTCATAAATATAAGCATAATACACGTGAAATCAATAAAATTTGCATGGATCTGAGTAAAGCTAGGCTTAACCAGGTTGATCCAATTCATCCATTAATGCTTAACCCACTTTCTTAAACGACTCATTGGTGGAATCGAGTGACAATCTTGGTCATAACAAATTAGATTGAACAAATTTGTTGTGTATTTTATAGGGTTAATATATTTGTATGACCTGAACTTTGCACATAATAAACATCCTGGCTAATCTTTTCGGTCTATAACATCCTAGCCCAAACTATACATCAAAATAACGAAATTGGTCAAACCCGATGTTTGACCTTATCTTGGACGGTCAAAGCGTTGACTAACGGTCAACGTGCCATGTCACTGCCAAGTCAGCAACTTTCACTTAAAAAATTTATATTTTTCACCTATTACCATTTTTATTTTTCATTTTGAACCAAAAGAAGAAGAAAATTTAATTTCATTTTGAACCAAGAAAAAGAAAAATGATAATAGGTGGAAAGTATAAAAAATTAAGTGTAAGTTGTTGATTTGGCAGTGACGTGGCGCGTTGACCATTAGTCAACGTGTTTGACCATCCAAGATAACGGTCAAACATCGGGTTTGGCAAATTTCGTTACTTTGATCTATAGTTTGGGCCAGGATGTTATAGATCGAAAAGATTGGCGAGGATGTTTATTATATGCAAAGTTCAGGTCATACAAATATATTAACCCTATTTTTAATGGGTTGTAGGTATAATATACTCCTCTATTATATATATGGGTATATATATATATCAATTAAGAACTCTATTATTCACTGATGCATGCAATTTCAGTTTCCAAACATATTTTACTCAAATACTTTTATATAACAATGAATGACTTTCTAAATTTCGCTTAGTTTCAATGAAAGATGAGATGCATTTAATTGATGTATGAGCTCAAATATACCTCCATACCACTAAAGCTACAATCATTGTGATCTTTAGTTATTCACTTACCTCTGCCAATGTTTACAGGTTCATATTTTGCTATGAAATTTAGATAAAAAAAATTTAAATCTCACACATTTAAAAGTAGGAGATGGAAACAATGTAATTAAGTGATTGCAAATTTACTATTTTGAAACCCAAAACTGATGAAATTTAGATAATCTCATTTCGCTAAAAGTCTTATGGGAAAGTGATACCTTAGCGTTGGATGTAGTGGTGAATGAACAACTAATGCCAAACGTGGCCTAAAAAGTTCCCTCCGCTATGAATTGCAAAAAACATCCTTCCCAAACCCAATTTATTACCAGTCAAATCATATTTGATAATATCACTTGAATGTCATAACAATAAACGACTATTTAGTTTGAGTCTAAATTAGACCTATTACATTGGCTAAAAAAAATGAATATCAACTCGAATGTAATTTTTGCAATTTTTTTTTATAACAAACATAAATGTGGAAACACCGATAAAGAAAGTGTGAATTGGTTTAAGCGAACAGCTAGATGGTCGATATTTCTTTATAGGTATAATTATATGGACTCAAATAGTTTCAAATTGTGGGTTCGACCCAAATAAATATTTTTCGGCTCTAGCTCTTTCCCCATTACATAATTAATAAATTAAAGTAATCCGAACAACGAACCGGGTCAGTTGCTTTTGCGAGAAAGAGCCAAGCGACAACAATTCACAGCCCTAACAAAACTTCTTCCTTCTTCACATCCATATTGAAACTCAAAAAACCATTACAAGGCAACATACTGCTTTGCCCCTCCTGGACGACCAACTAAACAATCATCTCCAAGAGAAGGACCCTTACCACATCACAGTCACATAAACGAAAACAACAGTTCTACATTTCAATTTCCCCCCCAAAACGCACTACAATTGCTACTGTCAGTTCCCAACTCCCTTCCTGCCATTTCTACTACCACTCTGCCACTGACCCTTCCTCGCAGCTCTGGCCTTCCTCCACCTCTCCTGGTTCCTCATCCTCCCAAAAATCTTCCTCACCTGATACAGCTTGTGAGACTGCCGCGCTATCAAATCCCCTGTCGACGAACTCTGCCCCAGAACCACCTCGTACCCGTCTCGGAAGCTGTCCATGCCTTCCGTCAGCAGCTGCCAGAACAGTCCCCCTGCCGCCGCCCCGCCGCGCTTGGCCGACGCGTATATCTTGTAGTACACGGCATTGAACAGCTGGTCTCTCCGGTAGGCGGAGAAGCCCGCGTCCTTCCACGACTTGCCGAATTCCGCGATGAGTATCGGCTTTCGAAGTACGTACTGCGCGTCCTGGATGTGGGCGTCGAGCCAGTTGTTCATGAATGACAGCTGCGATTCATCGTTGGAGTTGGATAGCCTGGATTGATCAATGTAAAGAAGGGCAACAATTAGTAAAGAACCATTTAAGGGATTCAATGTCCAATTGTATTGTTAGATTGTTATTTTGGTTAGTTACCATTGGTCAGGATATGAATGGACTGTAGCAAAATCGATGCCGGAAACCCTGTTGTTGGCGACGAAATCAGTTCCAACTTGAACGGGAGGGTTGACATTCATCCTTTGTGGAGTAGATGGCCCGTAGAACCCTTCTAGACCAGCTTCCAGCAAGTGATTCCTGTCTATGGATTTCACAAACCACGCCATTTCCGTTATCCAAGCCTGTTGTCGTTTGACCAAAATTTCAGAAGGTAAAGAAAGGTGTCACTAGTCAAGTCAGAGAGTGCAGGGGAAAAAGGGAAAATGTGTATAGTAATGAAATCGAGACCCAAAATTGAAAACGAGAAATTGGGATTCTTCCATTCCAACCCGTCAATCACGGAGAGAGTAAAGGGAAAAGCAACAAATTTCACTTTCTTTTTGACTACTGAAAGAAACAGACCTGGATAGTCCTGCCAGAGGAATCCGAAGTGCATCTGGGCTCGTTCATCAGCTCCCACGCCATGATTGTTGGGTCGTCCTTGTACCGAATTCCTGTGAATGTGTTCTGCCGGTTGAGAACCGTCTGCAGAAATTGGGCCGACGAAGATCTACGGTCAGCGACTGATTCAAAGTTTAGTACTTTATCCACTTCTGGGTTTCCGAGAGCAGAGTGAATACAGAAACAGAGACGCGAACGAAACAGAGTCGCAACAGAGGGAAACAAGTAATTATCTGTTTATATACCCGAATGTGGTTCTTGTAGTAGGTCCTAACAAGAGGGTGAGTGAAGAAATCATCGTCCGATGCAAGGCCGCCGCCGCCGCCCTGAGCTCTGGCCCAGTTAACATACTGCTTCTTCCCACCGAAGCTGTCGTAGTTGTTCGCAAAGCTCAGAATCAGCTTCATCCCGTACCTTCTCGCTTCAGCCACCACAAAATCCAGCCCCTGAAAGACAGATAAATCCCCAAGTTTAGAGACAAAGAGATGGAAATTTAACACAACGAGATTTCAATCAGATCACCTGAAACATGTCTTGGTTGTAGGCGCCAGGGGCGTACTGGAGAGCCCTGTAACCGCCGTCGCTGAAGGCCCAAGTCCTGGCGACGGTGAGGTCGTGGCTCCTCGCTTCTCGGAAAGCGGCCGACACTTTGGATCTCTGAGTTGGGTCGGCGGCGACGTACATCAGCCAGTAGGCATTGAAGCCGTTGGCGTAGAAGAGGTCGCCGTTCAGCACGAAATGGGGTCCTCTGGTTTGGATGAAACCGGCCCCCGTCGCTTCCACGCCGCCGTGAGGGCGGAAGAAACACTGGTGGAGCAGAATGGTGAAGAGAAAAGCCAAACCCAAGTTCCTCATCTCTCTCTCTCTCTCTCTCTCTCTCTCTCGGGGAATGGGAGGTGTACAATTCCTGGTTCAGAATGGAGGTTTATAGTTAAAAGAAAAAACAGAGCACCCTGGACTTTGTGTAATTGTCTTGTATATCAACTGCTAAATGAAGGAATCAATTCATTTTCTTCATTAATAAAATGCGGGCCAGGGGAACAAAAGAGGAAACGCTACGAGTTAACTGTTTGTGACAAAGAAGAGGGGCTAAAATACAAAAATTTAGGGCCAAATTCATTTCCATAGCCAAAACTTTGACGGTTGTGACAAATATAGCCACTTTTGGAGAAATACCAGAAATAGCCAGGATTTTGAAAGTTCGATGACAAATATAGCCATTTCCGTTAAATAGTTTGACGGCGTCAATGACACCGTTAGTCTATTTAACGGACAGATGATGTGGCTGCCACCTCACCTTGTGTTTCCTTACCACCTCAGCATCTATTGACATGTGGGATGCCACGTCATTTATAATGGGTAAAAAAAAAATCCGTTCTCTCTCTCGTTTTTTTCTTTCTCTCTCGTTCCCTTCGCCAGACAACTCTCACTTCTCTTTCTCGATTTCTTTCTTTTCTCCTCCAAACCCACAATCCTCCGAACCGAACCAAAAAGGGCTTCGCCTTGTTCTTCTTTTCTTCGATTTACCCCTTTCCCTCTCATTACTTCTGGAAAAAACGATCGAAATGAAAAAAATACTGTGCTGGCGGAGACTGGAGGCGAACACTGCCTGGCGATGACAATGACGACGGCGAGGGGCGACGCGGCCCTTCACATCGGCGACGAAGGTGAGTGGTTTTTTTATCTTACATGTCGATTTCTCTGGGGTTTCCGTTTGGTTCTGGTTTTGAAAAGTCAGATCTGAGTTTTGTTTTGTTTTTTCTGGGTTTAATAGCAGATGAGGGAGGAAGAGAAGACTGACGACGGGGGGCGACGCCGTTTCTCAACGTCGACGAACGTCTGTGCGATTTTTTATCTTATATGTCGATTTCTTTGGGTTTTCGTTTGATTCTGGTTTTGGGAACATAGATCTGAGTTTATTTTTTTTTGATTTTATGGGTTTAATGGCAGACGAGGGAGGAAGAGAAGGCCAGGGCCGACTTGAGTGGTCGATTCCCCCTCACCAACAGTGAATCGCGACGGCTACCGCCGCCGATCTGGAGAAGGGGGAGCGTCGTGCTTCGTCGGAGAAGAGGGGTCGGAGAAGAGGGGTTTTCTCTGGATATCGACTCGGGGAAAGGGAAGCGAAAATGAAAACGATAGAAAGTGACTGAGGTGTAAAACAACGCATTTACCGTTTCAACTTTTTTTTTCCACGTGGAATTAACTTGTTCGGCGATAAAAGCCACGTCGGATGTTCCGTTTGTCCACTCAGCCTGTTAACTAACACCGTCAAACAATTGGACGGAAGTGGCTATTTCTGGTATTTCTCCAAAAGTGGCTATATTTAGCAAAACCGTCAAAGTTTTGGCTATACAGGTGAAAAGGAAAGTTTTAAAGATGAAAAGGAAGAAAAAGAAGGGCTTTGGTGTCCAGCTCGCACATGGGAATCCATCCATCCATCCTATTTCATGGCGTAATTTGCGAAAATTGTTGAGCATTGTGCGGAGGAAATTTCATGGCTGTGGTGGGCCTGGGACTCCATGGAAGAAAGTGAAAGTAGCAAATACCACTGGTAGTCTGGTACTGGCTGGGAAACTCTATAATGGCGGGTGTTGTCGGTTGGCCAACATTTCACTTAACTCACTAACTGGACAACTATAGCAAAACGACGAGGAGCTAAAGAACAAATAGTGAAATTTGAAATAAGAATACAACCTCCAAATTCTAAATATTTTCCAGAAGAGCTCCACTCATATCATGAGACATATGTCCGACGCGACTAACAATCGTCAAATCACCAATTGTGAGTATTCAAAGAATTAAACAGCAACAACAACAAAAAATCATGTCATAGACATCAATTCATTAAAAAGCAAATTACAGTTAGCATCAAATGAGACGAGTACCCAGACCGCCACTATGAACATCTTTCATGGATCCATCGAAATCGAGCCACTGTCGGACACACGACTTGACATGCGAGATAGTATTTATGCATGTAACATGGCACTTGCAAGGAGACATCACTACCACAACCACAGAACAACAAAGCCCAGACTGCCCGCCCACGTAGAGAGTCTGCCTCATATCTCTATCATAGACACAAGGAAGGAATTCGAAGCCATGTGACCTGCCCAGCCCCTTACTACATACATAAATACTATCCTCTTCTACTTCCCCTGTTTTTCAGAGTTATCATTGGCACCGTTCTTTGTTTTCTGCTTCAATCTCAATGGGGTAAGTGCCCAACCATAAGCATTTTCCCGCACTAAATTGCAGTACTAAGTGCGCTGCCTGCATGTCGGTTAATTGCTGGCTGGTAAGGCCTTCATTTCAACTGTTACCATTATGGTCTACTTATCAGGTAGTGACAGAGAACTATGGAACATATATCTTTTGTTTGCCTGTAAATCGAAATGATCAAAAAGAAAGTGGGGAGGGTCACTGTCATTGTCGTCCGGCCTTAAGTTTGGCAATTGCCACCGACGGACGGAGGGGGCATCTGCGGATCATAACAAACAAAACAATCCATCCGTAAGGGGACACGTGTCACCGGCCTTTTTCTGACACAAGAAGATAGATGGAATGATGGATGCATCCAGATTCCGGAACCAGATCCAGCAGCATTGATTCAACGAACCAGCTCATGTCTTGAAACTCGGCAGAATCAAATAAAATAAAATAAAATAATATTAAGCACTATATGGTTAGTTTGTTACTGAACTTGAAAACTATTTCTTGATGGGCTCTCGTGCTCGGCTTTGGGTTCATAAGAACAGGCCGCCCACCTTGGCCCAGCAGGCTCCCCAGATCATGCCCCAGGAACAAATACACGACTTTTGGGCTTCGGCCTAACTAAAAGGGGCATTTGCGAGGGAGGCAAGTGGTTCATTCAACTAATATAGGTAATGAGAGGTGGCAATTAGGGATGTCAATGGGTAGGGTCGGGTGCGGGTTTACCCTATACCAATTCCTAACCCGCCGGGTAGAGCCTCCTAAAATACCCAACCAAATAACCACCGGGTATGAAAATGATATAGCCATACCCTACCCATCGGGTAACCACGGGTATTCGGGTAACCATGGGTACGATCAGGGAAAACACAGCCACATTGACAATATGAATCTAATTTGAACCCTAGGTAAACATATAATTCCCTAGGTAAACATATAATTCCAACAAGTCACAGAACAGAAACATATAATTCCACCTACACAGCAGAAATGGGAAGGCTATAATTCCACCTATCTTCAAATTTCTTTATGGGGTTATGTTTGGTTCACTCGGGAATCTAATTGTCTTTCTTCATTCATTTGATTATTACATGGGTTGTCTTTCTTTCCCTCGTTTGTTTGGTAAAGTTTGGAGCTTTTTATGTGTTTCCAGGAGAAAGGGTCGAGTGAGATTGTGATTAAAGCAATGGGCTAAGCTATCAAAGTGAGTGAGTCTGTGGAGTGTGGGTGTCGCTGTGATTGTCTTCTGGTTGGGTAGTGGGCAGCGGGCAGTGGCCAGTGGGTGCTGGGTTGCTGGTGGGTAAGAAAAATCAACCTTTAATTAGCGGGGCGGGTATAACGGGGCGGGTATTATCGATTACCATACCCGTACCCTACCCTTTATTTTGAAACCGGGTATTACCCGTACCCGCCCCTTAACCCGTCAAAGCGGATAATTACCCTCGTTGACCGGTTACGGTCGGGTAGGGTACCCATGGTTACGGGTTGGATTGACATCCCTAGTGGCAATTAGGATCCAAATCCATGAATCCAGTCCAATCCATCCACCAAATTATCCACTTAATCCAATCCATTTAAATCCAATCCATTTGATCCAAATCCAATTGGATTGGTGGATTCATGGATCAATCCATGGATCCAAATGGCGAATTACGATTTGGTACCTATATTTTTTATATTGTACATTTTGGTACCTAAAATTTATATTTTTATAAGAAAAATGTCATTGGAAAATTACATTTTGGTACCTAAAAATTTTTATTATGACATTTTAGTACCTAAACTTTTCAAAATTTACATTTTGGTCCAAGCTTTGGATGTCATTTGGATTCATGAATCAATCCACCAATCCATTTGATCCAATCCATGAATCCACCAATCCATTGGATCCAATCCATTTGATCCATAGATCCACCAATCCAATTTACGAATCCACGAATCCGATCCAATTGCCACCTCTATAGGTAATTTATTAGGTGCTCCTCTAGACTTCAAATGAGCCAAACTGCTCACGAGCGGCTTTACATTCAGCTCAGTAAAAATTCGTTCGGCACTTAGTTCGTTTATTAACGAGCTGCGATTTAGTTAATCCTTGTTCAACTCACAAGGCTAGACTCGTGAGCCAACTTGACTCAGTGGCTTGTTGAACTCAACTCGAAAACTAGCTCGTATTGAGCTATAAGTTGACTTGACGGTATGACTACCGAGCCACCACAATTAACAACTTAATAGGTTGCCTTGTTGGTCTCTGATAGGGTTTTTAGAATATATATATCTCGATATATGTTGTTTACGAATTTAAGCATGTGATCAATATGTCTCATTTACAATTTTAAATAGAAATTATGTATCATAGATTACTCATGACTAATTACAACGAAATTACATCCCATGAACAGCTAGAGCCAATATGGCAAGCTGATTGATGAGTTGAGCTTGAGTAGAGCTCGTGAGCTCGTTTATAAGTCAAGCTCGTGTCGAGCTCGAGTCAAACACAAGCCAAGGTTCTAGTAAACAAGCCCAGCTCGAACTCAGCTCGTTTATTAACGAGTCAAATGCAAGCTAGATCAAAAATTGGCTCGACTCGCCTCATTTGCAGCGGTAGCTCCTGTGCATATTACCTCCTTATTAAATAATATTTTTGTTCATTTCAAACAGAAAGAGGAGACTCAGCAAAAAAAACAAAATCATATTCCTCCAACCTTTAAGACAAAACTGTTCCCCTGGCAAAGTTGACCAATTATATTCTTGCATCTTTCACTTACATTACATTCTGAGAGGATGAAGATATGGAGGAAGTGGCTGCCCGATCACAACGCTCGAATTTGTCCGCCATAACCGTAGTGCTTCAGTAGACCCTCATCTTGCCGCCAATTCTCTTTCACTTTCACCTCGATCTATAACAACAGTCAAACGCCCATGTCAGTAACTCTTTGTAAAGTTGGTGGGACAAAAGAAAACCCAGTCCAGTCAAAGAATTATAGGTTTGCACCTCAAGGTAGACTTTTTTCTGCAAGAAATCTTCAATGTCAAGTCTAGCTGCTGTTGCTAGTAATTTCATGGCCTTTCCATCCTGCATTTACACAGCCTTCCAAACATCAGCTTCATCACAGAATGCAGTTAATATTTTTTTTTATATAAAAGAAACACCCTCTTAACACAATCCATCATCAAGACAACACTCACCCTGCCAAGCATTATGATCTTCTGGGAGTTCTTCTCAACAATGATCTCCACCTGCATAAAATCTTTTGCTCCTGGCCTAGCTTTATAGCTAACCACATTTACCTGAAGGTATCAAAAACATACTTTAGCAACATATTCCATCATCTATGATTTGAATCAGACAAGTCGCAGAGTCAAATAACATTACAGCACACCTGACTTGCATAAGGAACTTCATTGCGGAATTGCATAAAGATCTTTTCTCTTACTATTTCTGCAATAAAGAATCTTTCCGGGTGCTCGCTAATGATGTCCTGCAAAATCAGCAGCAACTAAAAGGTAAGAGATGGAAGATATATGCAGGAATAAGTTCAAAGAGGGCAGGCAATCACTCGAATTGGCAGGAAAAAGGTGAAATTATTCCTTGAGGGTACTACACTGAGGGAAAAAATAGAGGCAGATGCAGCAATATGCTAAAATAAGATGGCACCCGATACTATAACAAAGATGGATGACCTTTGGATAGTAAGCAGGCCCCTTTGGAAGTTTGGATAGTATCCATTCCTTGATATCTTCCACCCCATGACCATATTTTGCACTGACAGGAATAACCTCATCGACATTGGTATGTTTCTCGTACCACTGCACAGATATCACTTCGTTTCAGTTATCATATTCATACCAATAGCATGTAACATACAATTTCCTAAACACACCAATTAAAGATAACTGGGGCTGCTAGTAACCAAATGTGAGAGTTCCAACCTGAAGCTTCTTCGCAACTTCACCAGGTTTGATGAGGTCTTTTTTGTTCAGCACCAGCAGGATAGGCACATTGTCTCTTAGACTACCAGCACCTTCGTCTTCAAACACCTCATCAATCTGGATCAGGGGATCCTAACTTTAGTAAACCTAGAACCACTTTTAAGAGTCTTTAACAACCAGGAATTTCTAAATACCGTTTCTGGCATTTTGCTTGCATCAACGATAACTAGTACACAGTCTGCGTTAACTGCTGCACTCCGAACATTCTTCATCATCATGGTATCCAGCTTGTGCATCTTCCTCTCGATCACACCGGGTGTGTCGTAGAGTACCATCTGCAGAAAACCCCTTTATATCGGATGAAGAACACAAAGCTCAAGCATCTTGCATCCTCTTATCTTATCTTATCTACATTATGGACTTGTTCATTTATTATTGTACGTAACCCAATTGATATGGGAATCTTTTGCTCAATGATGCTAAACCTCCAGGTGAATCCAATGAAGTGCATCAAACCAACAAAGAAGCAACCAATAACAGAACCCCAAAAATCAAACCTGGTAGTCTGGGCCAGAACTTATACCAAGAATTCGATGCCTGGTAGTCTGAGGCTTATCCGTAACTATAGACAACTTCTGCCCTATCATTTGGTTCGACAATGTGCTCTTTCCAACATTCGGTTTACCAACCACAGCAACATATCCTGCACTTTCACCATCAACTATCACAAAGGACCGTCCAAAATTAGAAAAGTGATAGCAAATTAGAGAACAAGAACTAACCACTTCGATGGTTAGGGTCAGCGGAGTAGTCGAGTTCTTCCATCTCGTAGTCGTCAAGCAAAGCCATGCTTCTGTTAGGCTTCACGCTGAGCGACAGCAAACGCGAATCTTCCTCGCTAACTTCTTCATCTTCATCTTCCTCTTCATAGTCAGCTTCGTCGATTTGAATTTCGTCGATCAAAAGCTGATGTTTCCTCGAGAAGGCAAGTGGCGGGCTACTACTTCTCTGGTCAGTGTTGGAACCGCTTGTGGCACTGTATAGAAATTGAGTGGCTTTCCTCGCGCTGAAATGGCGGGTTAAGTTGAGACTGGATGGCGTCGCGACCGTGAACCTATCGCCGGGGAAAGCAGCCGAGAGATTCGAAGCTAGCTCCATTTACTGGAGCTCGTCTCTTCGCTCATTTTTTTTCGGTTTTCAAACGGCTATAGCCTATAGATTAGAGTGGATAAACTTCTTCTCCGTTGAACTTCCTTGTCGTTGTTTAGCACGGATGCGTACTATTTGTCGCCCATAAATTATACTAAAAAGATAATTTTGCCCTTCAAATTTTTCTTTATATTCTGTTCTCTGGTTTAGTTTTTTAAACTACCTACACACCACCCGACCACCAACCCCCCACAACCACCATAGCTAGATTCACGGCCCACCGGACAGCAGTCTAAGTCGCCGGCCACCGGACCAACGTCAGCATAATTCGCCGGCCACTAGACGAAAGTCGTACCACATCGTCGGACCAGCGAATCATGTCAACCCCCGTGCCTGACCTCCTGTATTTTTTGCCCGTCCACTCGCCGGTGAGCGGAAGGCGCCCGACGCCGGCGAGCGGACGGGGTCCGATGCCGGCGAGCGGACGGCGCCCGTTGCCGGCGAGCGGACGGCGCCCGTTGCCGGCAGTATTTTTTTTTTAATTTGATACATATTATTAATTCTAGAGCTAATAATTTATATTTAATTTATTGCTTTTATTTTTATTTTACATAGTTAAATTCCTATGTAGTTTGAATTAAGCGATTGTATTTTGTTGTAGCGCTAACTAGTTTATTGTGTTTAAATTTAATTCGTAGAGCTAAGGAAGTTTAATAATTTATATTTAAATAATTTTCTCATCGTCAAATTATCATTATTTTTTAGAGTTAATTAAATTATTGCATTTAGTTTAATTTTGTACAGTCAATTGAAGCACAATTAGTTTAATTAAGCGATTGTGTTTTGTTGTAGAGCTAATTAGTTTATTGTGTTTAGATTTAATTCGTAGAGCTAAAGAAGTTTAATAATTTATATTTAAATAATTTTCTTATCGTTATTTTTTAGAGTTAATTAAATTATTGCATTTAGTTTAATTTTGTAGAGTCAATTGAAGCACAATTAGTTTAATTAAGTGATTGTGTTTTGTTGTAGCGGTAATTAGTTTATTGTGTTTAGATTTAGTTCGTAGAACTAAAGAAGTTTAATAATTTATATTTAATTAAATTTCTTATCATCAAATTATCGTTATTTTGTAGAGTTATTAAATTATTGCATTTAGTTTAATTTTCTAGAATCATATAATTTGTACTTTTCTAATGAGTTGTAAAATCATAATTGCAGGTGGACATGGCTTACAATGTTGAACTAATTGGTTATTACACATACCATATTCTCAATGGCGTCTGATATGACAATTTCGAAGATGCTGTAACAGTGACCAAAAACATCGCGATGCCTCTTGGTTTCTTTCTAACTAAGGGATCGATGAAGCCACGTGAGTTGCGCAACAATAGAGTATTGGGTATGTGTTATATGTATTGCAACAGATGCAGTAGAGAGAAGAAGTCATAAAGCCGGATCCTTCCAAGGAGAGTCGTGGCAATACAAGTTCAAAAGGATCGGGATGCATGTTCAAGGTTAAAATCAAAGAACTACTGGTTGATCCAGATGCTCTTGATGGACCTTCATTCTGGGAGATACAAGCAATGATGGAGCAAGAAACCGATTTAAGGCGAGGGTATCACAATCATGAGAAGATGCTTTATCCCGAGGGCCACAGTCAAATGAATAAATTAAGGCGGAGGATAAAGAATCTCTGAAGCAGATGAGAGATGTTGGGGTACCTCCATCGCAACAGAAGCAGACAATAAACAAGCAGAAGGGTGACAAAGGGCATCACACCAAAAGGCAGATGTATAACCTCGGGTCTAAGTCTAGGAAAGACGAGATGGGCGAGAAGAATGCAGTGCAGTATGCGTTGCAAGCAGCTGACCGTGAGAATTATCATATAGAGGTTATAAAGGACGATAACGACGTGCTTACACATCTTTTTTTTTGCCCATCCAACTTCCATCCAGATGTTGAAGGCTTGGTCGTACGTGATTCTGATCGACTCAACGTATAAGACCAATGCATATAAAATGTCGTGAGTGGAGGTCGTAGGTGCTACTCCCGTTGGGAAGAATTTCAACATATGTTATGCTCTCATGAAGGATGAGACAAAAGAGTCGTTTCATTGGCTGTTGGAGTGCATACAACAATTGCTCCATCCATGCGTGCCCACTGTCCTCGTCACCGACCACGAAGGTGGACTACTTGCTACGGTTTTTGTGGTCTTCCCCCGCACCCCGCATTTGCTATGTGTTTGGCACATCAACACTAATGTGCAGAAGAAGTTTTTTGAAATATTTGGGAAGGACAGGATGGATTTGGTCAACGAGGCTTACGATCAAATTTTGGTGTCCTATGCTTTATTCTTGGTCCGAGCAAGGTATGTTGGCCGCGTTTGGCCGCTTTAGGACAAGATGGGGCAATTACGAACCACGTCTGTTGCAATACATATAGGGACTGTGGTGGCAACATCGAGATAAGTGGGCAGTTTGTCATACCAAAAATATGTTTCATCTAGGAAATACGAGCACAAACAGGGTTGAGTCGTCACATTCCGCTTTGAAAACTTTCCTCCACAACTCGCGGGGATCTATGGACACTGTATGGAAAGGAAACCACCGCTACATTACTAACCAACTCGGGGAGGTTAGGACGATGATGGAAAACTCTAGACAGAAAACCCTTTCAGCATCCGGTGGTACATCCTTCACATACTTGAGAAGGAAGGTCAGCATGCAGGCAATTATATTAATGAAGGAGGCTGAAGAAGAATTGGTGGCCCGCTTGGAAAAAAATGAGAACTCTCGATGTGCATGTCATTTCTCTGTGACACACGGCTTGAGGTGTGGATGTCAAGTTATGGATGGCAGAGCTCGAGACATAGAGATATACCCGGGTGATCTTCATATATATTGGCGGACACTGACATACGAGCATCCACCCAATACCCAGGAGTACGTGCCCCAGGAGGATGAGGCTAAATGTCACCTTCAGGAGTTGGTTGATGAGGTTGTACGCAGAGGACCAGAGGCAACGAAAAAAGCAGCAAAGAATGTGTTTCGCGGTCTCCACCCAGCGGAAGACAACATTCACGAGCCATAAGTGAACGAATTTAGAAAGGAACAACCAACCAAAAAATCAACTGGAAGAAATAAAGGGTGGTGGGAAAAGATACTGCGAGGCAAGAAGAAGAACATGAAAAAGAAGTCGGGAAGCACAACCTCGGGGTCTACAAAGTCGAACAGTACCAAGTCCACGGGGACTCAGACAGACAAGCACCCGTCAGACGACCATGCAGCTGAGGAGTGTGATGATCTCGAAGAAAACAACAAATACAACTGTCCTGACACAGGTACAATTTTAAAATTTCATAAGTGTAGTTATTTATATTAATAGTTTATGTAGAATTTGTGCTGATTATCTATTTCCTTCACAGATATCCCTGGATCCAGCACCCATTCTGATTACGCACACATGGAACTGCTTTCTATCTTCTTTCGGGAACTTATCACTGCCATCCACGACCCGGTGTCAGACGGTCATTGTGGGTTTCGTGCACTTAGTTTTGCATTATATGGTAATCAAGATGGGTTCCCAGAGGTGAGGCGACTACTTGCTGAAGAAATTCGTGTGCACGATTGGGTACCATTCTGCAGTGGACAACCTATCTAGGGCAACCAGTCCTAGAGGAGTCATTGTTCTGCATTTCATCCAGGATCATTGGCTCAACCTCTCTTTCCCGGCGGACAAGATACCGATGCCCCCTCTACATGGCATGTGGCCAGGTGGTCACCAAGATAGCGTGGATGGATGGGATACATATTTCGCGCCGTTTAGTCAAATGTGGTTCGATCTTGGGGGTGGGATGCATAGCTTTCCATCGCACAAAAATAGGGTTCCAAAGAAATAAATTTGTAATTGAGAGGGAGCCCGATGCACTCGTCTTCAATTTAAATAAATTGAAATGAACGTCTTCAATTTAAATAAATTGAAATGAACGTCTTCAATTTAAATAAATTGTAATGAAGTTTGTTTACGTCACATGGAAACATGATATAATAAAAACATCTGAAGTACAACAAATAACAAAAGTCATAATCAGATACAACAAATAACATAAGTCATAGTCTAAAAACAACAAATAAGCAACTGAACACCACATAACATAAGTCGTAGTAGAACAACAGAATAACATAAGTCCACTCGTCTAAAAACAACAAATAACACTCATACATAACAATCATACAACTACTGTGGAGGTGGTAGAAAACCTGACTTCCTCCTAAACTCGGGCCACATGTTCCCAACTCCATGACATAAGTCGTAGTACTCGTTGGACCTAGCCATCCACTCCTCCCTACTACCCTGTGCAGCATCTATCACGAGAGATATCTCAATCCACATCTCGCGTGACAACTGTAAACAAAAACCATACAATTTAAATACATATTAGTTGCAATCAAACAAAATTTTACTTAATACAAATAATTTCAAATATGATTGTACTAACCGTATCACCATCCACGATGTCGCGACGAGGTCGGCTGTCACTCAGTATCTGTGGGTGCGAGTGCCTAATGTACCACCCCATGTAATCCTCAGCAAACTCTCATGGCCTACGTCGTACCGGAGTAGAATAAAGGTCCAGATGCACACTATGCACCCCAAGTTGTTCCACCACGAGTCATAAACAGACTGGTAGCTAAGAGAGTATCCAAGCGTGGAAGCAGGTCGACGTACAACAAGCAGACGCTCCGGGGGCTACGGTACACTCTGCACGTAGCCTAACTGTCGGAGGCACCTAGTGGGCTCATATGGCTCTACTATCTCTGCAAATCTGAGCAGGTCCTGATACAAGGTACATCTCACCGTCAGATGAGGACTCTGACCATATGGAGTCCAACTAACCGCCTGTGGGGTCAAACTATCAATCTCCTGTCGATAATAAGCCAGCATCTGTGCATCCCTCTTCTTCGTCGACTGGGGTGAGATACCGCGCCACCTGAATGCTCCTGCATGCCCCTGCTCCAACTCTCGTGGCTCCAGCCGACTAGGCCTCAAGGTAGGAAAGTGGTCGTAAATCCAACACTATAGTAAAGTTAGACAACCTGCCACTCCCTTAGCCTCTGCCCGGGAGGCAATACCAAGCTGCCTGTACAGATAAGCAAGTGCTCCTACCCCCCCCCCCCACGCGTACTCTCCTAGCATATTCGGCCTCTTCACAAACAAGTTGACAACAACAGAAACGCGGTCCTTACTCTATCTACGAACAGTGTGGACCCAAGCAGCAAAAGAAGGTAACACTGAGCCTCTCTAGCTGGCGGACCAGACTCCTTCAAATGAGTCAAAGCTGCCACACCCAACAAACCATATCCTCTGTACCACGTAGACAGACTGGGATCGTCATGATCTAATCCCATTAGTGCTCGGGTGTCAGCCTCTAGTGACCACTTCTCCAACTGCCTCGTATCCACTACTATCGCCTCTCCCTCAACCGCAAGCCCAAGAATGTGAGCCACGTCGTGAAGGAGGATCGTCATCTCTCCAAATGGCAGGTGGAAGGTGTTGGTATCCGGCTGCCACCTCTCCACAAACGCCGAGATGAGAGCAGGGTCCAGCTCGCTCTGGAAGGTGATATCAACGAGGTGAGCAAGGCTCGATGTCTCTACGGTAGTCCTAGCGTTATCATCTGCTATCTCATAACCGTCGAGAACGTGCCGATGGGTCGAACTCCTGTTTTAGCAAGTGATCACCCCTCTATCAGCCTGTCCAGTGTACAGACGGTGGGCAACCTGCCGAAGAAAGCTACGGAGCAAACTTTGGTCGCTCGGCCCTCCAGCACACGGTCCTCTAAGATCCCAGGCCTCTCTCACATCATCATTACCACTCTGGCCCTCACCAGGCTATGGAGCTCTGTAGAAACACCCCGCATGGTCTCTATAGATCCTAGTAAAGCATGAACCCCAGTAATGACATGTGATCATCCGCTGGGGGCACCTCTGTCTCTTATCGGACTGACTAGTGGAATGCGATACTCAACAGCATCCGACTCATACTCCTTCGACTCGTCATCAATCTCGTCTGAAGGCTCAAACGGTGAAGTATGATGATCACGACTAGGACCAGCTCCACTACCAGCCATACTAGGCAACTGAAAATCAAACTGAGGAAAACCGTCTGCCCTCAAGTTCATCAGTGTCACTGGTGGTTGTGGCTGTGGCTCATCTCTATCATTTGGGTCCTTATTTCTCACACTGGCGCTAATGTTACGCCCAATGAATCTTCTCAATCTCTTTGCAGCTCCTCCAGAACTACGTGATCCTCCAGAATTACTAGATGACGCCATCTCTAAACATAGTCAATAATTTTCTATTAATATCTTATAATAAATTATTTGTTGAGCAATTACTTGTTGTGCCATAGAGTAATTATGATACATACAATTTGTTATCTAATTAATTTAACTAGATAGTTATTTTACTTAATACGATAGGTAGTTATTTAAATATTTATTTAAACTTACTCAATTACTTAACTAAAACATCATAGATAATTATTTAAAATTAACAAGTATTTACAATTTATTTAATCCAATAATTATTTAGATAATTATTATAATAAATTATCTATTAGCATAGTCAATAATTATCTATTAATCTCTTATAATAAATTATTTGATTAGCAATTTGTTCATAGTCATAATTTATAAATTACTAATTATGATACATACAACTTGGTTATCTAATTAATTTAATTAGATAGTTACTTTACTAAATACGATAGATAGTTATTTAAATAATTATTTCAACTTACCCAATTAATAAACTAACACATTATATAATTAACAATTATATACTTATTATTCAACTATCAATATTAAACTAATTAAGATACTAACAATTGTATTTAAAATAAATCTAATAAATATTTATTTAAACCGAATCAGAAACCCAATCAAACCGGTCTAGACCGGGCGGACAGGGTCCGACCAGACCTGGCAGATAGCGTCAGCTCCGACCTGGCGGACGGCGTCCGCTCAGGCGTGTCGGACGGTGGCTAGAAAAAAAATAAAAAAAATTACCTGGAGCGAGCTTGGGAGGTCGGCGGCGGCGAGAGCGAGCGAGGGAGACTCGAACAGCGGCGACGACAACAGATTGGGAGGTTGGCGGCGATGGCAGATTGGGAGGCCGGCGGCGACGGCAGATAAGGAGGTCCCGGCGCTGCTGTGGGGTCCTCTTCGGCGGCAGCTTCTGGGCTCGGTGGCGGCTTCTGCTCGGCAGGAGGGAGGAGTGGTCGGCAGCGGCGGGAGGTCGGCAGGAGGAGGGTTGATGGGTGGCGGCTGTTTGGGTTGGGGGTGGGAGGAGGTTGAAGGGTTGAGGGTAGATAGGGTTAGGATTTTAAAATAGGACAGGGGCAAAATCGTCTTATTTTTTCTAACTATGGGCGGCAAATAGTAAAACTACGGGCGGCAAATAGCGATTCATCCAGAAAACTCATCAAACTGTCCATCTGAAAACGCACCGTTTCACGTACCTAGTTTGTCTTCATGCTTTCCTTCGCTAGTAAGAGTATCCACATTGGTATTGTATTTTCAATTGCAAAATGACATGGCATGGATGTTTGCAATTGCAAAACCAATTGCATTGATGTGACTATCAATAGCATATTTGCAAGATTGCAACAAATGCAATTGCATATGCAAGTCAAAAAAGCCTAAGAGCATCTCCATCAATACAAATGCAAAAAAAAAATTGCATTTGGGTTTTTTATTGTCAACTCAAATTTTTTGCAATCCATATCACATTCATTTCATTCACCTACATCAATGCAATTAACTTGCAATTGCAAATGTAATTAAATATTATATTTAAATTATAAAAAATTAAGTAAATGAGAAATATCCTCATTTTTTTAGGCTTTTTTGACTTGCATATGGAATTGCATTTGTTGCAAGCTTGCAAAGATGCAATTGGTAGCCACATCAATGCAATTGGTTTTGCAATTGCAAACAACTATGCCATGTCATTTTGCAATTGAGAATGCAATACCAATGTGGATGCTCAAAATGAAGATTTTTTATTTTATATTATTATTTTTTCATTGAATTATTTTTTATTTTATATTATTTTCTTCTCTCTTTTACTTATTTTTATATAATTTAAACATAATATTTAATTGCACATGCAATTGCAAGTTAATTGCATTGATGTAGGTGAATGAAAGTGATTTAAGGTGGATTACAAAAATTGAGTTGACAATAAAGAACACAAATGCAATTGTTTTTGCAATTGCATTGATGTGGATGCTCTAACAATTGGCAACGGGATCAGGTAGGATCCGGTGCTTAAGCCTATACGTTTAAGTAGGGGTGGTAAACGGTAATCCGGTAAACGGTTTACCGTTTTACCGAACCGGTAACCGGCGGTAAACGGTAAACCGTTTACCGGCGGTATCGGTAGCCGAGCGGGAAGTTGGGGGAGTCGGTTTACCGAACACGGTATCGGTAAATACCGACGGTAAATCGGTATTACCGATACCGAATCCCCCCTCCCTACTCCCTAGTGCTGCGCTGCGTTTTGTTGCTTTATTATGAAAAATATTACATCATTATTCACAAATATAAAATATTACATACATGAATGTAAGTATAGGCCTCAAAAATATTATAAATAAGAGTTAATAATAAATTATTAATTACAAAAATGATGAAAAAAACTCAAAAAAATCAAAATATTACAACATCACCCCACTTCCAGAAATTCGGTTCGGTAAATATTCGGTAAACCGACCGAAAAATCGCCCGAAATCGCTTCTCACGGTATTTCGGTAATACCGGGTTGTTACCGTTTACCGGTAATTCGGTAATCGGTAAACCGGTTACAAACCGGTATCGGTAATCGGTAACCAGTTTGGCCAACTTCGGTATACCGAAACCGGTAAATTCGGTAAACGGTAAATTGTTTACCGACCGAATCCCACCCCTACATTTAAGCATTTTGTTTAAGTCATTTTATTGGTTGATAGTGGATTAGGTAGTTAATACGGGGTAAGTAGTTAATAGGTAGTTGAGGATAAATAAGGATATTATACAAATATAATTAATATTAATAATTGATTATTCTCTTTCTCTCTCCTCCCATAACTTTCTCCATAACCCTCGCTCTCCAATACAATTAAAAGGAAATTCGAAATTAATTTAATTAGATTTTAATATTTAATATCTAATAAAATTCAAACTTAATAATATTTTCTCTTAGAAATTAAAAATTAAAAATCTTCTCTCTCATTTCGTGACAACTTGCAATGTAGTATTAACGTTTTGCAATGACATTATCAAAGTTTATGAAATAAATCATTATTATTATACCTTATCATTATCAACGATTTCAATATAAGTATCAACTATTTACAATTATATTATTAACAATTTTGAATCAATCGTTACCGTTGTAAATTTTCATCATCAACGTTTATGAATGAATCATTGATTACAACATCTTTACTAATGATTCACAATATCATTGATTCACAACATTATCATTATTGATACTATTAGTAATGGGCTCTCAAAGACGTCTCACTCGTTGCGACAAACAAACAACAACTGATATCATGATACATCAAACGTAGACAGTGTTCACTATTAACAGTACATGGCAAAATTGCAAATATTTTAGGTTAACTGTTAAACGTTTTGAAATTATTAGTAATGATATACTTTCACGTTGTTAACGTAAACGTGACGTTCTCATCCCAAAAAATTTCATTGAAACTGAAAATTATAAATGGTTTAGGTCGATTTTTAATGATTTTAATACTATTAGTTATGATATACTTTAAGAACATTTTGGTGGGAGTTGCTTAACGTTTTTAACGTGAAAGTGAAATTGTAAGTTGTAACAACTACGTGATATCATGATACATTAACAAACAACATATGATATCATGATATATTAAACATAGATAATATAAATATATTTTATTAATAATTCACTAAAAAATTTATAATGTTCGGCTATAATGATTATAACCTTAAATATTTTATTACGTTAATAACAATTTACATTACATCAACAATGATAACATTACATTAGATTGTTAACAATGAGCCTAAACCCATTAACAAACAACAAAAAAATGATTTCGGAGACGATGATAATGTTTTTGTATATCATTGAAAATTCATTGCAAAAAAGTTGATAACGGTACCTTGGATTGATTATAATGAACTAATAAAAGTTGATGGTGTAATTGTTTGACATTTTTCATAAACATTGATAACAACAATAAAAGCAAATAGTACACTTTATCAAGAAGTTTATAAACCTGACGTCCAAATTGGAAAACATAAGCTCCTATGTTGATAGAGATGCAACAAACCGTTAATAATGTAACAAAAATTTATTGATAAAGAAAACATCAAAAACCAAAACCTTATGTTTTTATTGAATACACAAATATTTATTTTCAACTAAATATAGTTATTATCAATGATTTAGTGCGTTCTTATTAAAGGTTACTAAAGTTCAAAACTAATAAT